AAACAAAACCCAAACACTAAAAAAACCATGAACAATCGACATAACCCAGGCTTAACCCAGCCAACTTTTCAATCCCCAGACCAGCCGATAAGTATACGTAAATAAAAAGAGAAAAAAAAAGCCCGACTTCCGTGAACGCATAATAGTAACCCATAGCCCATTAACACCATCTCTTTTAACTCTCTTAGAAGACAATTCCCCTAGCCTCAAGACTCTTCTCCACCTCAGCCAACAAAGTTCTCATAGCCGCATCCTCCCCATACTCCAAACCAAATACGAGCGCCTCTCTCGCTTCCTTAAATCTCCCCATTTCCTTCAGCGCCTTAGCCTTTCTATAATGCGCCTTATTATTCTGCTGTCTCTTAAGGTCGACACTCAAGGCCGCATCCGCAAGAGCCTCTGGATAGTTATTACAAAGCAGATGAGCTTGAGCTCTATTAGAGTACAAAATCTGAATTTCCTCCTTCATAAGCGGAGCAGGTTCCCAAGGAGGTCTAGTAAGAGCCATAGCAATCCCATGAGAATATTTACTAACGGCTTCTTTGTAGTTTCCAGCTGTGAAGGCCGTGTTTCCTGCTGCTCTTTGCTTTTCTATGGCGCCGGAGCGTGCGGGGTTCACAGGAACTGGGGGTGGTGGAACTCCGTCCATTCTCTTGTCGAGGCTTAGGACTTTGTGCATTTGGTTCAATTGGTCGAGGAAGGATTGGAGCTCGGGGTTTCCGCCGGGGCAGGAAATGTCCTGGGTGTCGCGGTCGACGCGAAGAGGTAGTTGGGTGTAGATTTCGGTGGAGGAGGCCATGATGGGTGGTAGTGTGGTGGATTTGACTGGTCGCGTGGTGGGGTTGAAGACGAGAGTTGGGTGGAGGAGCTGTGGTGTAGGTAAGGTAAGGTGGTTTCCTTACCTGTGCTCGCTACCCGTCACTAGGTTGGAACTTCGAAGGAACACGTAACGAGTTAGATACGCGCTAAAGTTGATGCATCGATCCGTCACAAGTCGCCACACCCACCCCACGATTCAGCCACGGTGTCACGAGCCACGCTACAGAATCTCTGATTTTCTAGAAAAAACAGTTGTGTGGTAATAAACATCTTAAAATTCCATTTATACTATCCACATTATAAATAAAATAATCATTATACACTATTACCCCCATCTCCCAACTTCTCTCCCAAACTCAGAAACTCATACTCGCCATCTAAACTTTCCGGCCCCTTCTCAAACCCATTCGCAAACATAAAACTCCTCTTCTCTTCTGCCGGTGTCCTCAATTCTACCAATTCTAAAGCCTCTCTTAAAGTCTTACCACTATTATCAAGCGCCGTCAAAAATCTTGCCAGCTCTTTACATAAATCCCAATCACCCTCCTGTACCGCTCTTGCAAACAAGCGAACCATGTCCTTCGAACTACTAGAAAGCTGTTCAAGCGTATGAAGAATCAAAAGATACCCACCAGCAGTTTTTAACAAGCCCCGGGAAAGACTTTCTTCGAATAAGGCTTGTGGAGATCCTACGACGGAGAAGAGATGCTTCCAAGATGCGACTTCAGTTTTGCGGGTACAGCGGACTATTACGTCAAGGTAGTGCGGGAAGTGAGTTAGAAAACGGATAACTTCGGGTAGCACTGCGTCCTCGGGGTTCGGGGAAGTGTCGGCTTCTTCGTCGAGGACATCGTGGAGGAGTACTTCTAGGGCGTGAGAGAAATATGCGAGGTGTTCGTAATTCCGGGCCAGCTCTACGGCGGCGCCAGGCTGATGGGCGGTTAAAAGGTGTCGTAGGAGGTGCGTTATGAAAAGGTGTGTCTATCCCGGTCAGTAGATATCACCAAGGGTAATGGTGGTAGACATACCCTCGTTGAGAACTTGAAAAGTGAAAATCCAATATCCCGTCTTTGTACCAACTCCGATTCAATACCGACCAGAATACCTCTACTGGTGAGTGTTGACATCGGATAGAAATCCACCGGTACTTTAACAGGTACTGGCAATTCCCTTCCAATCTCTCCTGATTCAAGAATATCTTTCACATCAATCCAAACCCTCACATCAGTTCCATCGAACGCCCACAACGAATCCGACAAGTTCTGAACAGTCACAGTAGGGAATATATCACCCAAATGCGAGTCCTCATCCATCGGAGATGATGTTAATTGCTGTGGTGGTTGGTCCCGGGTCAGGGTGTAGTATTCGACATTCTGAAGCAACACCTTCATGTCGTATTTCAGCTCCCCTCCTTCTGTGGTAGATGGTTGTAGGAGCACCAGCTTTCCGTCGACCAGGAATAACATAGTTGCAACTGCAACATCTCGAGAAGGATCTCCATCACGTAGCTGCTCGTCGGGTACTATCCAACTAATAGCTCGGACTCGTGCTGGCGCCCTAATTATGCCGTGGAATGTAATCTGACCAACTTGTACCAGCCGCACTGAAGTTTCCAGGCTCTGTACTATGTAGTGATATAAGACGTTGTCATTCGTGTAAACGAGCAAAGAATCGTTTCCTGTTAACGTAACAAGGACAATGGCTGATGGTAAAGTCTCCAAGTGAACCAGGTTTGTGTTATCCAGCGCCAGTTCTCGGGAATATAGTCGTAGCTATATCAAGTTAGACTAAAGCAATACCCAAATTAATTGGCGAGGTTACCTGATATCTATCATGGCATTCAACGGCCGCAATTAAGATGTGCTGGAACCAACACATTCCACCTCGTACGGTAAAATCCTGTTCCATACGCGCATCGGTGAAGGTTTTCCAACGGCCACTGTTCACCGAGTAGTGTGCAAGACCTCTAGTTCCAGCAACTGCTACATACCGTCCTTCAGGTGATATGACCGAGCTCCGAATTGGCCAGTTTTCGGCGAGGTATGAAGCCGGTACTTGAACAGTATGCCATAATACACTGCTATCCTGGGATATCATAGTATTATCATCTTGATCATACCCCCGGTAGATGAGTAGCTGTTCGCCGGTTTGTAGCATCGGTCTCGCAGTGTTGACCGAGGAAAAACATCCTACCACCGCCGATTTAACAAATTCCAGACTCCAGATAAGTTCATCTCCCTGATTTCGTAATAGAAGAATTTCCCCGCCGTTGGCTATCCATGCTCCATATTTAACGCCGCTGAGATATGCTTCGTTGGGTTTTCGTACTATTAAAGCTGCTCGAGTACCGAAAGAGTTTCCTCCGGGTTTGCCGTATACACTCCATGTTGCCCAGCCGTTTTGATAACCGACGAATAGACAGTAGCCATCCGGTGACCAATTTACAAAGGTGATATTTCCTGGTGAATCCGAAGGCGCAGCAACTTTGTGTGAAAGTGGTATATTCCCACTGTAATCCCGAGCTGTATACATGAATAAAGATCCACTATTGAAGTCAGCTAAGGTTGGGAAGATTTGAGAGATAATTCGAACTTTGCACACGCCACAGCTATCATGGAAAAGCGCGCATTTATGGACACCTTTACAGCGGCTTCATCTGGTGTTGCTGGAGTATGGAAGCAGTATCCTTTGAATGTTCTAGAGGTGCTTCCATTTTCTGATGATCGGGCTTTCTGGACTGCATATGCTCTTCCGTCGTTCGTAACCCATGTAGAAAGGTTCATAGGGCGATCGTAAACCATATCGGTAATGATAACTGGTCTGTTAGTCCCCTCTCCAAAATATATTTTCCTGTAAAATGACGTACCCAAGCGTTACTGGTACAAACTAACCTTTCTTCTGCATCCAAGGCATTCGACTAAGTGTCTCGGCAGATGTTTGGTTTCCGGTTGAGTCGGGAGTCCATCGAATACATTGTATCGCGGAGGGTTTCACTGTTGCCACCATCAATTCGTCTTCTAATGCTAGAGCTCTTGTAACCGTCAGCTTCTATCCTTCAGTTGTGAACTCAGATCAAAAATCTTACTTGCTGATTCCCGCATCAACCTTAATGACCATTCTAAACTGTAGCGAGAACTCCCGGACACCACCCGCTTCACCAGCACCTGGCACAATTCCAGCATCCCCAACTAGAACCCGTCCACCAGACCCTGACATAGATGGTTTCCTCTGATGGTGATGATTTCCGACAAACGTTGGTTTATAAACTCGGGCATTCTGATCTGTAGCAAGCGAATAGGTCATAAGATAACCCAACAAAGTTTGAACGACGAAAATCTGCGAATCGGGTCTAATCATAACATCGACATTCGGGCCATAAGAATCGATCGATAATGGGGACCTCCGTACGTGAGCGACGACAGCTGTAGGCTAAACCCCATAAATTAGCTATGACGAGTAAACCCCAGGCGATTGAATCGGACCTTTGTTTGCCATATAGTCAATTCCGACCTTGTAACAGTAGCAAACAGCAAACCGCTCCTTGCAACTCTCAATGCGACCAGATGGGATCTCGTTTCCTCACTACTTCCCAGCGCGCTTTCCGCCTCTTCATTCCTCGGCTTCTCATCCGCGTCTGAAGTTCCGGAAGTAGACCCAGTCTCTCCTACTTCCTTCTCCCCTATCTTCCTTCCCTCCTCCTCCTCATCTGTAGCTTCCTTCCCCGCCTCATTCCCCTCGTCATCAGGAACCGAACCGATAGAAAGACTGTGTCGTACGAGTTCCGCAGATTCTTCCGAGTCGTAATCGATTGATGGTGACGGAGGAGGAACTTTTGCGACGAATATTGTTGGGGCGCGAATAGGCCAGTACATGGTTCGGCTTCTGCGCGAAAAAAAGATTTTGAACACCGTAAACCGTGGAGTTGAGGTGACAGCTCGGTAAGCTGGGCAGCTAGTTAGAGGTCGTGGTGCGGATGGCTAGATCACTAACTAGAGTAAGAGGCGACTCTACTCTATGCAGTCTACTGGATGCAGACGCGCGCAGGTCCGCACGGACAGCCTGAGACACGGCATGACAACACCAATCAGTAAAAAGACGGGATAACTATCACGGCCGATTCAAAAAAAAATTATATGAGCTGAACACAAGAGATATTATCGCAGAATAACAGCAAAAAGATCAGCCCCACGCGGGGGTCGAACCCGCAACCTTCAGATTAAGAGTCTGACGCTCTACCGATTGAGCTAGCGAGGCTGAATATGAAGTTATCTACCTGCAGCGCCCTTTGATCAAAAATTATTATAATACTCTTCAACTCACAAAAAGCGAGTAACGACTTCGCCGGGCATCGAGGTAGAGACGTGGTTTCAAAAAAAAACTCGCTTGATAAATTGAAAAACTAGTAATACAAAACATTCCATCCGCCATTATAAACAGACACAAAGTAATTCTAATGTTCAATGAAGAAAACGCCATAAACCACCCTACATCAATAATCTCCACACTCCCAGAATCAACGCAGCGGTACCCTAAGTTCACGTCAGCCAGACTTCCGGTTTACGAAGGAGGATATCACTTACAGTGCATACACCAATCAACCACTGAAGCGTACTGAACTTCACCGACTCCAGCATACCACGCAGATCTCCGACCTCCTTTTCAATCCTAGTATCCGTCTCCTTGATCTTGAGCTCATGTACACTGCTCTCCTCTCTGATACGTCCCTTCTCCAAGTTAAGGTCCAGCTTCACACTACTCTGTGCTCTTTGCACCTCCTCTCTCAGCCTTGCGTTAAGTCTTGAGATCTCAGACGCCAACCGTTCCTGGTCGTTCTTGATCGGATTCAGTTCGTTTCCATGTAGCGTTGTAAGTTCAGATCGTAGCTTCGCAAAGTCGACTTTCTGTGTGTAGTTTATCTTTTCCTGATCTTCGCGCGGAACCATTGTACGAGTGAGATTCTGTATACTATCTCAGGGTTAGTTAGAGTCATAGGCATAGAGCTTGGGGAGCCATACCTCTCCTCGATAACATCGCCCAACAGACGCATCAAAGCTTCACTCTGTTCCTCGCTGAACCCTTCTGCCTTAAGACGCTCGACAAACTTCAGGGTGTCAAAGTGATGGTCGCGACGACGGATGGGAGTGCTGTGGAATGCATTGCTGTGCGCCGGCGGTATGGCGAGGAGCGCGGGCCGAAGAAGAAGCTGGGAGGGAGTTAAGAGACGCGATGATAATCCCAGTGTTGTAGAGGTGTTGCATGTTGCGAGACGGAGGAGCGGTTGTCGGGTGTTCATTTTTGTTGTGTGAATCTGAGATGAGATGGAGGTATGGACGGGACCTAAGGAGAGCTAATGGTGGGGTGGGGTTGCTATGACGTTATGCGGGAATGGGATAGAGCCCTGCAGGTGAGCGACGACGATGGTAAAGTGCTTCTGGATCGCGGTCGAAGCTGGGCGAGAGGGGTGAGGGATAGGGTATGTTAGAGAAATGAAAATACTGCAAACTCAGTCCGAAGCTCCTGACTGAAGTTATCTGATACCCAGAGGCCGCTCAACCGAGGATCTGATTCGGTAAAGCAGCGAAGCTTTCCGGCGCGGTCAGATATTCTAATCGAAGTTGGGGGAATATCGTGAGGTTGAATTACATTAAACTGTAGCAGTGGTATTCTTTAAAAAATCAAACATCATTCATCTTGACCAGCTCTACCTCCTTTATCACTTCTGCAATGATATCCGTAACCTCCATCATTCCACCAACACCAAGATCTCCACACGCCAACAACTTTGCAACCGGATCCAGAATCTTCACCCAACCCCATGAGCGTAGAACATCCAGTTGCTGAGCCGTAAGTGGATGAAGCCACATTTGAGTATTCATTGCCGGCGCGACCAAAATCTTCTTCCGCATAGTAGTATCCCAAGCTCTAACAACACTCAACCCAAGGCCTGGACACATTCCAGCAGCCATAGCAGCAAGTGAGTTCGCAGACAATGGTGCAATCAACATGACCTCCGCCCATTTCCGTAGCTCAATATGTAGAACTGTATCCCCCCTAGCCCAGGGTTGTGCCCATTCGTCTTCGTTACGGTAAATAGGAGCAATCTTTTCGATACTTTGGATGTCTTCGGCGAATAAGAACCGGGTCGCAGAGGGAGAGACGATGACTCGAATGTTCACATCAAACTCGCTGAGGGACTGAACCAGTAACGGCAGCTTTATTGTTGCAACGGATCCTGTTGCAAAGATCAAAAGATTGGTGAAATTAGGATTCTCGGGTTTTCGTGGCTCCTCCATGGTGGTGGTTTTGTGAAGTCTGGTTTTGTCAGCTCGGACATAGAGAAGATAGCCAATGCATAATCCATGGTGCCTTTTCGAGTGCGGGGTGAGGCGCGAACGCGTAAAGTCCGCCTCCTCTGCATTACAAGCCAAGCCTCGCGAAAAGACACACTCACGGCAACCACAAACCAACACCCGAACAGAACCCTTCACGGAACCCGCATACCGCGTTATTGCCACGAGTACCACCTGACCGCAATGCCACCGAGACGACAGCCGACAGTCGCGCCCGCGCAACATCAAAGGTCCCTGAGATCGTTCGCCACCAAGGTGTCAAAAGGTACAGCGCCGCGTGCCGCTGCGAAGGCGAAGGAAACTGTTGCGGCTGGAACGAAGAGAAAAATCGACGCAGCAAAGATTTCGGCAGCAATTGCGATCATTCAGGATGGCGACGAGGACGTGGTTATCAACACAACGAAAAGAGTGCGGACTGTGGAGGAGATTGCGGTGAAGGAGAAGGAAGAGGTTACTGTGGAGGAGAAGGAGGAGGTTGCTACAAAGGCGGTTGAACTGGAGGAAACTGTGGCCGAGGAGGATATCACTTCAGAAGAGGCTTCAGAGGAAGAATATACGAAGGAATCGTCCACGGAACCACTGACAGAGGCAACTACTGAGAAAGCACCGGTAGAAGAGACCTCAATAGAAGATAAATCCGCAACAAAGACCCCCGAGACCGAGCCGACTGTACGAAGGTCAACCCGTTCGCGAAAGACGACCACCGCCCCCAAAGAGACCGCTCTCGAAGAAAACTCTCCCGAACCCGTCGCACCCAAGAAGACGGCACCCAAAAAGGCCGCCCCAAAGAAAGCCGCCGCCTCCAAGAAAACCACCTCAAAGACCGCCTCGAAAGACATCCCCGCCGAAGAATCCACTCCCAAGCCCAAGAAAGTCGGCCCACTCGATGCCTTCATCACCCGATCCACACCTGCAGCACCCACTCCCACCCCCAAAAAGGTGTCCGCCACCAACACGCTCGCCAACTTCCTCACCAAAAGCCCTGCCACTGGACTATTCTCACGCTCCGGCAACATCCCTCCCCCCACCGCCTCCGACGCCGGCCCCTGCTCAACATCCGGTCTCCCTGCCTCCCTCACAAACCTCATCACCTTCCACTCCGCCCTCCTCACCTCCCTCCTTTTACACAAAGCGCAAAACTCCTCCGGCATCTACCCCTCCTTCGCCATACTAAAGCCCCAAATTGAGCTTTTAACCTCTCGCCGCATATCCTTAGCAGATATCCAAAAGATCGTCTTTCTATCTCATTACAACACCCCATCTTCTACTTCCGGATCGGGATTATCACTCCTCGACTATGGCGCCACCAAAATCTGTATCAAGTTCACAGAAACCTCTGATATAAAGCTTACTCACACCTCTGCCCTAAAATCTTCCTTTGCCGAAAAGGTTAAAGAGTTTTGGGAGTACTTAAACACCGATGAAGTCCCCTTAGCTCGAATTGAGGAGCATCAACATAAAGCTACCATCAACGCAGTTCTTCACGGGAAGTCGCAACAGCTTATTAAGGAACTTAAAGCGCAGCCTACTAAGTCGGCAATAGTGGTGACGAAGAAAGGGGATGCTAAAGGACGAGGGAATAGCTTGTTGGAGAGGATAAGAGCGAAAGCGGCTGCGGCGGAGGCGCCACCGTCACAGGAGGAATTGGTAAAAAGAGCGGCGGAGGGAAGGTATACTGAGGTGCAGGGGATATTGAAGGGGTGTAGAGCGAAGGGGGAAAGCAGGGGGTTGAAGGAAATTGTGGAGATGGTTAGGGAGAGTGTGAAGAATCCTATTGGGGTTAAGGAGGCGGAGATGGCGGTGAGATTGGTGGGGGAGAGGGAGGAGTGGTGTAATGTGAAGGAAGTGGGGGGTGTGGGGGCGGTTGTGTTTGGTGGTTATGAGGGAGGGAGGAGTTTTGTTTAACGGTGCATTGTGCACTGTGTTGATACCAGGGAGTGACGAAAGTGAGTGATATCATTGGGTTTAAGTATGTATGTGTGTTTTTTTCGGGTTGTTTTATTAGGTTGTGTATTAGGTTTGTTTATTAGGTACATTAGGGTCGAAATTGGTTTATTATACCCCGGGAGCATCGGATTTTGTCATAGTTACGTTGTATTATTTGTATTCATAAAATCATGGGTGGTAAAGCAGAATGTAACATGTGTGTATTGAAGTATTGTTTTCTAGTTTAAGTAGTTGTAATGAACGTCTTTGCTGTGGGCTATTTATTTATTTAATCATACGCTGACCGAGGCCTGAAAGGCCCATGCAGGACAAAAGAAATCCAAATCCCGTCCTCGTGGTCTGAGCCACCTGGTGAGGCCCCCTAATCTCCTAATCCCATAAAAACCGCCGTACAAAGGAAAGAGAAAAATGAAAGAAAAGAAGAAAGAAAGCCGTAGCATCTCATAAAGAAAGAAGAGAGTGGTACCTTTATGGTATCCTACTCATATCGTCTGCCTATCTCTGTTTGTTCCAGGAATTCTAGGACAGCATCCGTCAACCGCTCGTCCTGAAATAAGGAAACTACCTTCAGTCTTGCCCCTCTCCCCCTTCGCCTCCCCTTGAGCCGTTCGACCTTTTTCTTCAAGTCCAGCAGCTCTCTCCTCCAAGCCCTGCACCTTCCGAACAGATGTCCGCGAGTCTGTTTTCTTCTTTGCTGTGGGCTAACAGGAGAGAACAAGCGCAAGACACCCGAAGCCGAGTGAGTTCTCATGTCTAATCCCGGCAGTGATCCACACCCTTTGTTTATCCTTCTCTTTTGTCTCCGCTCACAGCAATAAAGATCATTACAGAGAAACAAAACAAAAAGAGAATCGAGAAATCTTTGACAAGAGACCTAAGTGCTCAGAACAGGATATAAACCCCTCTGAACCGCAAAATCATCGTTCTCCATCAGCTCCACGGTAATCAGAAACTACG